ATCTACTTTATTAAAAAGCTAGAAAGCATTGTAATTTTATATTGAAAAATATGTAATTTTTTTTATGTGTTTCTCGGTTTTTAAAGGGAAGGGGGTGTTTTATTAATATTATTTTCTGTTTAATTGATTTCTGCTTTATAAAATTGCTACACGAAAAAATCAGTTTATTGGCTTGGGTGATATCGTGAGTACAAAAAAAAATAAAAAAAATTGTATGTATACAGTTGATTGCAACCGATCCCTACATCGTATTTTGTTATTGAATTTTTTTGTTAAGCATAGCTAGTGAAAACAATGGGCGATTGTGTACACTGCACGGTATAGCTGAGTCTTGAACACAAAAACAACGGCTAACTTAACACAGAACCAAAATTTAACAGTGAATACTATTCGACCTAAATATAATTTTTAGCAAAAAAAAAAAATATGTTAAATTTAATTTTCTTATACTTTTGATAAACTTCATAAAGGCATACCCCTGGGTAACATTTTTTAATTTGACAAAATTCTCATAGAGCTCTAAGAGTTTTTAACTGGCCTGAAGTTTCCTAGAGCTCCCCCTCTCTCCAATTTAAGGAGCTGATAGGTAGTTTTTTAGGAAAACATTTTAAAGGGGACGCCTGAAATTTGCTCGCTTCGCTCCGTTATCATACAGCCCTTAACATAAAAATTAAAAAATAAATATGAGAAACGTTAACATTTTTAATAATACAAATCAACTAGTGTATAAAAAAAAATTAACAATATTGATACCATTTTACTTTTATTAGCCACATTATTGATTGTTTCATCCTAGTCTACACCGTTTAAAAATCCTTTCTCGATATACATGACTCTATGACTGTCTAATAAATGACGAGGTGCTCCTTAATTTGGTTTTTACATATCTCAGTTTTGAGAAACCATGATCACATCTTACTTGATTGCATCGGTGCAACTAGATGTTCAGGTGTACCAGTGTAAAACCAAATTATATGTCCTTATGACCTTGCCGCTTGAATTTATATCACTGTTTTTAGAAAATTACCATTCTACAAACGCTTTCCCATAACTTCTCTAAACATAATTTTTATCTAGGTCCTAAGCTTACATAAATATTTGGAGGCGCCATCTGAGAGCATGGGGATGCTATACTTTTTGTATAGTACAAGTGAAAATTAGATATTTTTATCAATTGTTGTATAATATTATTGTTTAAATTCATACAAATAATTTGGATGTTGAAATGGCCACGACAATTAACAATTATAGCATAATAATACATATATTATTTGGAAAGTAAACCATAAATAAATACACCATTAATTAAATGGTTAATGGTTGTGTTGAAAAGCTGTAACTTTTATGCTTGACGAAATTTTAGAGAAAAAGTAACGTGATGACCTCAAAAACATTCACCTCTTTAAATTGTGTTGTATACAAATATTTAAACTCTAATTTTAACCTAAATTAATTTAAATTCTATGTGATGCATTTATGATATTGTTGAAAAAATAACAACAATAACCCCAGTACAGTGGGATTGGGCCATAGTAGGGACGGAGACACAGGTCTACAGGAGTTATGATATCTAAAAACGACCAAAATAAAAAACTATTAGTAGAACATACAGTTTGTTGGGAGTAGATAATATATTTTATGAAATTGATCACATAGTTTTCAAAATAATGTTAAACTGTGTTACGATAGCTGATAAAATCACTTTTAATTAAACGCTTCTATGCGAATTTGTAGATAGTACATTTAAACCAGTTTAGTCCAATACAATTCTAATTTTCAAACCTCAATCCCTAAAACTGTTATCCCTTCTTTGCCTTCGAGAGGAACGAGTTTATGATCTTTTTTTTAGTTTATCAATATTTATTGGTAGCATTATATTTAAAGAATATTCCACAGAATTTTGGAACTGCTTTTTTATTATTATAACGTTTTTATGAACTCACAATCTACTATAAAAGACTATTTTTAATAAGGTATAAAATAAAGTATTGTAGATTTCTATTAAAAAATATGTTATTGTTTTTGGTGTGTATCTCGATTTTTGAAGAGGAAGCGGTGTTTTTTTTTTTAAATTTTGGTCTAATAAAGAACATTTTGGGTACGATTTCTGTTATGATATCGTGAGTACAGACAAAAATAAAAAAAAAACACATAATATTGAGGTATTGTCAATACAATAACTTCTCAGCTCCACACCGATTCTAAGCATATTAAGCATTTGTTTAAATAAACAAATACAGTTAAACTACAAAAACCTATTAGGATTCTGGTTTTTCGGTTGATGTATAAGCCCATCGATAATTCGCAAGTAGAACATTTAGTTTTAAGAGCTGACAAAGTCGATTGTCGTCTTAGAACCTCTAACCAACTCCACAATTTAAGTAAGTATTTCTATTAAACTCTAAAAAATGTTATTTCGGTAAAACTAAAAAAAGACATGAGCCAAATGAGTCAAAAGTAATAATGTTAAAATCAGCAATAAGGACTTTGTATTGCTAGTTATTTTTTTATCGATTCTTAATCGTTTTACACAATCCACATTTTGGAGAGAATTCTATAATAGACATTGGTTTTTTGTGATATTTGGATTGAATTGTACTAAAGGATGTGTAGTGAAAATGGGCAGTTTTTAAAATCGTTTTCATAATATCTCACTGATGATGTAGACTTGCGTATACAACCAAGATAAAAAAAATATATATTTTTTACCCCAAGTCAAAAATTCAATATTTAGTAAAATGATTAAGATTTTCCATTATAACTTTAAGTTATAATGAAGAAAAGTTAATAAGAAAAGTTTAAACTTTAAAAAGTTGAAAACAATTTCACTTTGCAGAGAACTAAAATTAGCGTAATACACGTATACAGTTTTTTATTTTTAATATTTTTCTCTAATCGCCAAATAGAATTTTCAAAATTAAAAACATGCAAAAACTAGTTTAATATTTAAGGTAAATATTAATTTTCTTTTTGAAAAATGATATTTTCTACACTGTAGACTAGATTATTTTACATCAAAAGAAAATAAAAATAATTATAAAATATCAATTAACAAAAATACAAAATTAAACCCGAATTATAGAAATTCGGGGAGCACGTAAAAAAACCAAAAATAAATCGGCAGAACCGTTTTTTTACCAAAAAATATTTTCGCCGAAAAATAAATGATCAGAAACACAAACTAAAAGAAGTGTATTTCTACTGAACTATAAATTAACAGAACAGTATTGTAGCTGAAAACAATTTTTGGAACAAAATAAATCGACTAAAAATATTTTATTCGATCCGTATTTTAGCCGACTCATATTTTTTTTATCAGTTTATTAATTATTATCTGATGAACTATACACCTAATACCTATAACTAATATTGCAAAACATTGTTTTTTAATTTAATGAACACTATTTTAATTTGTAAGAGACTGATAGCCTTTACTTAATGATTGATTGTGGGCGGCGGACTCTGTTACAGACATTCTATATAATAATAATTATGTTATAATTATAAAAGGTAGGCTTACTTGCCTTATAAGTTTGTATCCACTGGCATAAAATATCGAGTCGGTTGATTAAACAATTAGTTCCTCTAAATTCATAAAAAAAATGCCTCTTTGGTTAGATTATCTAGAAATAATAGATCTCACGAGCTCAAACACTTCAGAAGGTCAATCACGCATGTGCTTGGAGAGCTTAGTCCGTTACAGTATAGCCAATATTTTATATTATGAAAGTTTAATTATTGCTACCGAATCAGTTGTCATATTACATAATATTATAATACATTATTTTTAATGCATATTTCTTAGTATATAATTAATAAAATTCTCTATTTCTGTACCAACTATTGAATAGAAATTTCATGATTAATTTGGTATCAAACCAAGGGCTAGAGTGGAGATCACAGTAATAGAAGTTACAGAACATTTTTTTTTTAGCTAGAGTTGACTTTTAAATGATAATGATTCAACTGAACAAAACTACAAAAATAAAAATAAATGCCATAACAAGTGTATTGGACATAGATGGATTTCCGCCTCAAGTTACTTCATGCAAAAAAAAAAAAAGCGACGAAAATGATTTTCGTTACTTCTTTATTCAAAATATGCAAATTTTAAAAATGATGTTGCTTTATTAAATCCTGTTCAAATCTCTATACCGGTATTTAAGGCTACCATGACTAGACTAAGGTCTTAATTAATAGCATTCCAGTTTTATGTATATATCTATTCAGTATGCGATTTTAATACCTTTGTAGAAAATAAATTATTGTTAAAAAGGTAGAAATCATTATAAAGTTGCTAACAATTGTTGGAATTTGAGTGTTGGAGTGGATTTGGATAATATAAAAATTAACACAAGTTGTATAGTAATAAATAAAGACTTGTTATACACAGTTGGCTTACACAAACATTATAAAAAAAATGAGTAAATAAGATATCCCCGGATCTCCCTTTTATATAAAACTAAAAGAATATTCTAGAACAAAAATTGTATACAATGTAATACTACAATTGACGTCAATTTACACGCGAATTTTTTTAATAACAACTGATTGGCTGATTATATAAACTACGCCATTATATTTTACTTATTAAGAAAACAAGTTTATCTAAACAATATTAATGAACACTTACATTTTAAGAAGAATGTAATATAAATTATTTATTGAATATTTCAACACCCTACCTCAATGAATAATATCTATAGGTCCACCTTCTCCTTCAAATGACTGACTCCCATTGTTAACCGTAACATCTCAAACCTCTGTTTTGGCAATGGTTTAGTTAGGATGTCTGTAACCTGAATCTGCGTGTCAATATTTTGTAGTTGAAATAGACCTTCCTAGTACTTCTCTCGAATGAAATGATACCGCGTCTGAATGTGTTTTGTTCGTCGATGAAACTCCAGATTTTTCACTAAACGTAAATCTCTTTGATTATCAATGAATAAAATTGTTTGAATATCTTTTAATAAAATTAAACTTTATATCAAATGAGTTAACTATATCATTGACTTAATCGCTTCACAAGCAGCTATGTACTCCGATTCTGTGGTTGATAAGGCTACCGTTTGTTGTCGATGTGATGTCCAAGAAATGATAGTTGATTGATGTCTAAATACATATCCTGATGTTGACCTCTTAGTTTGGACACAATTTGCAAATTCCGCATCACTAAAAATTTCCATACACAACTGTTTAGTACTATCCAAACATAACCCATAATTATTGGTTCGTTTTAAATAGCGCAAATTAGGTTTTACCATGCTCCAATGTACTTGTTTTGGCTCTGATAAAAAACGACCAACATAGCTAACAGCATATGCTGCATCTGGTCTCGTTACTGTTGATAAAAACAATAAGCACCCGACCGCTTGTCGGTATGGAATTTGATCACCCGTTTGTTTTAATTCTTTATCTTGGTCAATTGAATTCATTTTATCAATAGGTATAGACAACTCCTTTGCCTCATGCATGTTAAACTCTTTAATCACATTTAAAGCATAATTCGATTGATGCTCAAATAATGGACGATTGGGTAATTGATTTATTTGCATGCTAAGAAAGTGTTCAAAATTACTCACTTTTACCTCGAATTCTGCTTTTAAATGTGACAAGAGTTCTGTAATTGTTTCTTCATTACTTGCTGCCAAAGACCATCGTCAAGTCAAACTGGCCAAGTGTTAAGCAATACAAATAATAGAGCAGTAGCAGTGTTGCTCATGAAAGTAGGAGTGAAGTGTGGTTATGAACTAAAGAAACAGCAGACTTGGCCGTAATGTAAATATACTACTTTGATAGGTTGAAATTTTTGGAAGGGGGTTTGAAACTTGGGTTTTTTTACTGTTAGGCTTTTGTTAGGGATTATTATAAACGGGTAGAGAATTTTCGAAAAGCGCGCTGTATTTACTTATCTGAAAGATACTCTAATGGTTAATATTATATAAAGATGTCGACCATTCGGTTTATTGGTTTGAATTCAATCCTAACTGAATTCAAATGGTACCTATACCATACGGAAAATATATTAGTGTTTATTAATCAAAAAACGATTAAAATTAATTAAAAATTGTAATACCTCTTAGATATACGTTTTAATTTAGAAAAAGTCATCAGAACTTTCTAGAGGATGATTTTTTTTTGGGATCATATACAAAAAAGAATATTTTTATAATCCTCGTTTTTCGTTTTTTTGTTAATTGTTAAAATGTAATTTAAATAGTTAACAGAATCGTTTTTATTTTTGTCTATCAGTGAAATAGCTATAATTTTGTCCAAATAAAGTATCGTTCAAGTTAGATTATTACCTTACAAAAAAATCAGTTCAACGATCTAGGAAATATTATGGGTCTGGTAAAAAATTTATAAATATATTTATATATATATGAATTTTTTACTGTGTGTAATTTGGTCCAACTTGAGAGATTAAGGTTTTAGTGAAAGTTTATTCCAATAGATGGCGCTACTTAGACAAATATCACAGCTGACAGCTAATCAGCTGACAAATGGACGGTTGACAGCTGATCATATTTATTCATAGTTTCTGGTAAAAAAGCGATGGTTTTACATATCATATTTTTTAGTTACCATTTTAGTCTTCGATAGATTACCACCTTGACTGTAACATTTCAAAACATAGCCCAAAGAATCAGGACAGCACAGAGTCCTGTACATGAATCTCGAGAACAGCACTATTGTTGATGAAAACGAAACCGTAAATTTGATAGTGACAGCAAACCAGTCGGGCATTAATACGTTGACCATTTTTTCCATAGGGATGGGGATAGGAATAGAGATGGTGATGGAGTTGGAGTTTGATAATAAAATATAATCATAATAATAACTAATAATAAACTAATAATTTGTATAACTTGTGAGTACTATGTTTCAATTGTATTTCTTAACCCGTACGAAGCAGGGTACACGGGCAGCTAGTATATATATTTATTTGTTAATTTATTTATCATCCTAAAACTGTCTCGTAAAACCATAACCTTCACACCTCTAAACTAGAGACAACAGTTTTTAGTACAAACTGTTTTTTATTTGTTATTTGTTTTTCGTAGAAAAAAATGAACGTCTTCAGTGTATTGATATTTTTTTTCTTCATGGATATTGTGACATCTGATTGGAGTAATTTTTTGATTTTCACAATTACTTAAAGTAGTTAAAATTTGAAATAAATTCAATATTTCACTTTTTTACAGATATGTATTTGGATTTTGTTTACGTTACAAGTCAGTAACAATTTCATTTTATAAATAAATGTTTTTTAAGTTTTTAAAATCCACTGTTTTTATACATATTTTTAAAATTATGTAACATAGCTAATTTCATGACAAAAGCTTATGCAAAGAATTTAACTTTAGAAAATGGAACTGAAACAAGTAAGATATTATATTTAAAATAATACACTAATATATATAGACGATTTGTTATATGTACCTTATAGTCAAGGTATCAGTAAATTTAAAATTATAGTTTTTATCAACAGTTAAAAAAAATGCACCGGATATGTAGAACAGTGTACATAGTAATATAATGTATAAATTAGCGATTTCTAATAATCTAATCGACGGAGAAATAGTCGGGTTTAAAATTATTCTAAACATTTTTATGGTACTTAGTTTAATTTAATTTTAATATTTTAGTATAGCAAAAATCTTCATTTGTTTATTCTAGATGCATTGGAGTATCTAATTGAGGCAATGGTTGATGATATCAATGATGATCTTAACTACCAAGATTTCCGTAATCATAAGTATATTATTAATAAAAAAAATAAAGACAAGAGTAGAAAAAAATATTTGAAAATAATATAAAAAAATGCATGTCAAGTTTATCTTTATGCAATTGATAAGTGTCATAATTATTATATTTTTCACCGAAATCTAAATAAAGGCTTTATGAAAAAATACTGATGTTAGATCTAGCAACCTCGTCAGATAAATATATTTTATTCTCATCCCAAAAACTGCATCAATTCAGTCATTCCATTTTATAAGGACTCCCTAGTCTATATAATATAATTTGTTTCTATTTTGACCTCGTCTTTCAATTTATAATTATACAATGTAATAATTTACTATAGCAAATCCAATTCAATATCATTAATCTATATAATGTTAATTTCAGGAAAAATTAATTTTTTGATCACTGTACCGGGTAACAATTTTTGTTGAATTTTATAAAAAAATTTCTAATATTTCATTCCTATTGAATATTCGAAAGAAACTTTTATCGTAATGAATATATATTGGAGTATATTTTTTCCGAATAATTAATACACATGATTTTTCTACCTTGCAATTCGTCTTACTGTTTGTAATAGAATAGCAAATTAAATGTAATAGAATTGATTTATGTGTTGTTAATTTCAGACAAAAGGGATCTTATCCGTGAAATAGAGGGTAATAATTTATTATTGCACTTTATGGAAGCGTTTCTACACAACTGTTTTTTATTCTTAATGCACACAAGATTTTTGTTTAAATTTTAGAAGAACAAACTCTACCAAAATTGCTAAGTAAAAACCCCATTTTATATTTCATATTTATTTTACTTATTCAATATTTATTAATTATAAATACTTTGAGAATAGTCATATGTACCAATTGAAAAATATCAATATGACATATCGGTTTCAATAAAACAAATACGAATATATATTAAAGTTTCTTTTGTTTTAGAAGCCAATCATTTCCTCGAAATAATGCTACGCGACATGGAAGCAATAACAAGTAAATATAAAATTTAAAAAAAATAGTTACATATTTTTGTAGTTACGATTTATAACTTTAAGTCATATTGCTATATATTATGTTTAATATTTAAGCTATTAAAAAAAACATTTGAATTAGAATGAAAAACATTTATTTTTATCATTATAGAATATAAAATAATATTTTGCATTTATAAATATTGGTCTACTTACTCTCAGTTATAAAGTGAATGATATGTATAAAATATGTCAACTGGGATTTATTAAATGCTTAATAATATTTTAATGTATTTGTTACAGGCTTAAGGATGTCAAGATATTCAAGACGTAATTACGATTTTTTTGATAGTAAACAGCCTCTATTTAGAGTTGATAATTGCTTCATATGTGATTTGATTTATTTATTTTGTATATGACATAACAATTTTGAAAAATTCGACTTTTTGTCGAGGAGAGAAGGAGGGAGAGTGAGACTTAGTAAAAATTTAAGGTGATATTTTGATTGTAAATAAAATAGAAAAACGAATATTATCGCACCTCATCAACTTAAAGTTGGCCACTATATTTATGTGAATTATAATCTTTGGGATTTCAAGTTTACAAAGAATACATTTGTTGAGTATCAACGCTAATAAGTGGTTGTACAAAAAGTTAGTTTTATCACACTTCTTTGAAATGCAATGCAACAATTATGTATAAATAGCGACTAAAATATTATTTATTTTTATGATATCTTGGGAACACGGGTCATTTGATAATCATTTTCATAGAAACCGATGAACTGAGCGCCATTGTAGCTAGGAGAAGGAAACTCGTTTTTGAAGCTTTAAAAATTATAATTCGACGTCGTTTACTAGGTAAATATTATTATATTAAGTTGTATGGTTTTTGAATACTATCAAATAAATATATATACAATCCATAGGGTCTACCTTTTTAAAAACTGGACATAAAACAGATATAAGCCACGGGCATGGTATTTAATCATGTTCCGATACTTTAATAATCAAATTGTGTATCTGATTAGTTAATTGTTGTCCTCTTTTTTTGAGGCATTAAGAAATTATTTCATCCTCTCCAGCCGCCTTTCCGTTTTTGAGCATTTCCAAACCAACTTCTACCTCTGTTCTTGATGGTTCTTTGTTTTGCTCTACTGAGTCACATTCTTCTATAATTGTCCTTTTATTATGTTGGTTTAATACGTTTTTTTTAACTCATCTGCTATCTCTCCATTTTTGATCAATAACGTTCCATTTTCTCCTCCAATCGTTGATGATTTACGTTTAAATCCTTATTTAACTTCATGCTTTTTCAAAAAATATTCGCACATTATTCTTTCTACTATTTTATATGAGTTGTATTCTTTCTTTTTCCCATGCTCATTTGTTCATCCTTATTGTTCATTTTACCTCTTGCAGTTTCATGGCTAGTAGTCGTTAATTTTCTTATCATGGGTCCTGTAAAGCTTATAATTGGGCTTTATTCCTGTCTTTCGTGGAGTTTTTACACTGATCATTAAACCATGGTTTTTTTCCTTCTCTGAGAATCATGACCCAATACTTCTTCTACGGTTTTTTTACCGCTGTTTCTACTGTTCCCCATAACTTGTCTAAAATTGTTTTATATTCCAAATTGGAAAGATAGTTATTTAATTTTTCCTAATATTCCTTGGCTTGGTTTTCCTTCAGTAGCTCTTTGTTGATTTTGTTTTTAACTCTCTTTGTTCTGCCATTTCATTAAACTCTTTAGTTTGCTCTTTGCCTTTACCAGGAAATGGTCAGAGATCGCCAGTCAACGATATATGATTTATTTGGTTTCTTATCCTCTCACAAGGTG